ACCACCAAGCCACACCCACGAATTAGGCCATGCCCATAGAACCGGTTAAGAAATTTGAATCCCACCCCTGTACAAAGGGGAAGATATGTGAAAATATTGACAGAACCATCTGGTGACTGTGGGAAACAGTTGGGAAATGGCCAACTAGAAGACCTGGAACAAAGACTTAAGGACATTGATTGTTGAAAATAAACTTAAAAGACACTGGCTGAAATAATATGCTGGACTTTGGGATTGAATACATCTATTAAGGAAGAGGAATACGTCTATTAAGGAAGAGAAAAGAAAAGTAAAAAAGGAGAAGATATAATGGAGGAATTATTTGTTGAAATAAGATTGGACTTGCAAGATATAAGGGAAATGATGAAAATTAAACTTGAAATGTCCAATTACGTATTACAGAAATTAGAAATGGTGACTGAGCTTGTAGAAAAACAAAGTAAAGCAGAGGGGGAGGAGTTTGACGAAGAAGCCAGCTTTGAAGAACAAAGGGAACAACAATTATTTAAGCGGGGGAAAAGGAATTAAAATAAAAAAAATGTGGTAATAAAAGGGAGAATGGTTCAGAAAATGAAAAAAAGGAGAGGGAAAAAGCAGAAAAGGAAAGTAGAAAAGAAAAATTGAAAGAGGGAGGGAGAAAAACTTAACAATTGGAATGAGAAATGGAGGGGAATAAGAATGGGGGAAAAGGGAATTAAGAGAAAGGACCAGAAAATAAAGAGAAACAGGAAGCAAACAAGGATGAAAAGAGATTACATTGTTAAAAGAGTGAGAGAAAAAAAGGATAGGGAAGGAGATTTCGCAAGGTAATATGTTGTGATATATAAGAATAAGTACTGAAAATAGATAAGTATGTAACTGATATGGGGTTTTTTTTAGTTTCTCTTTCTCTTTTTCTATTAAACCATTATTGCTACATTAGACATGGAACTTAATGAAATAAATATGGAATTGGGAATTTATAATAAGAATATTATATATTAATTGATGAATAGCAATGTATAAGAAAAGGAAAAAAATGATGAAATGGAAACCATTATGAAAAGATTAATATCAGTTGCTATAATTAATTGATTAGATTAATACTTTTGTAATGTATTGATGATTTATAAGGTGATTGAGAAAATGTAATGCGGAATCTGACAAAAATATATATATTTGTGTTATATAGTAAATAGGGAGACTGGTATTTAGGTAGAATGAAGGTGGTTAGCTCAAATTATTAACCAGAGGGGACAATTTTGAATGAATAAAAAAAGGATTGATAAAATTGCTAGTGTGACAGAAAAAGATAATATGGGAAGTGAACATAGAAATAAGATGAGAATTTTAGATAACATTGTAAAATAAGATATGAGAATATCCTAAGAAAAATGAAATAATTTATAACATGAATTGGAATTGGATAAGATAAGTTTAATATTTAATACTAATAAAGATGTGATATGAAATTGAACAAATAAAATGAATAGGTAACTATGGTCATATTTGTATTGAGATATGAAACCTGGAACCATACTGCTTGGCAAATGAGAATTTTTTATTTAAAAAAACAAAACAAAATTGGAGAGGAAATTGAATAATGAAATTACTAGGTATGTTTAACTGATATGGTGGTTGGCATTAGGAGAGAGTATTGAAATATTGAAAATAAGCAATGAAGGATTATTATTTAATATGAATATGTGTATTAAGAGATATGATTGGTATTATTAAGTTTGCCTATATTAAAATGTATGATATATTGATGCCAACTGTTAATGTATAGTTGTGTATGTGTAGATTGAAATAAAAAAAACTTGATTAAAAAAACATGTTCAGATATTTCTGGGAGTAAAAAAAAATCAATGTGTTAAACCAGCCTATTTTTCTTCACAGAAAGATCCAGACTACTTGAAGCTCTGGTTGGACAATTTTGTTTCTAGTTATGAACAGTTTCTGGATGTGGACTTTGAAAAACTGCCCACTAGGTATGTTGAAATAGATCTTATTGATCTAATATATAATATGGCTAAATAGATATAAAATATTCATGATAATACTTTTATTAATTATAGTATGCAAACATACTGTAATGAAAGCACAAATCAGAGTGAAGAACACATCTGATGATCAACTCTTAAATCACGTTGCCATATGTACAAAAGGGGTAGTATATTTACCATGACTATGAACACATTATCTTGGAGATTTTGACTCCTCCCTCCATGGACACTCATGCACACATGCAAATCTAAAATGTGAAGCAGCAGTAAATGGAACAATGCGGCCAAAATTTAAATCTTAGCTGCTGATTTTTCTATGCAGAAAACCTGCAGGAGAGCAAGGCTTTTGGTTGGTGGCCAAATTTTGTTGGGAAGGGATTGCACATGTGCATTAATGTACTATTATCAGGTTTGAATATATGAATGACAGCTCATGGCCCCCTTTATGTTGACCCTGATGCATGCACAAACATCACATAGCCTGAAGACCTAAGCTGTTGTTCTCCTCCAAGGTATACTTGGAACCTGACACACAAAAGTTCCAGTCTGTTTCATCTCATACCTTATAGGTCAACTGTCAGCAAAATGATCAAAATTAGCAGTGCCCCTAGGTAAAGTTTTGGTATTAATCAACTTTATTTTACATTAGGATATTCTTCCTTTGTTCCACACTGGTACTTCTTGTCCTAGTTTACATTTTTCAAGAATGGGCTTTAAGCTGTTAAATTATAGAGTCAAGTAAACGTTTTTATTTGCTCTAAACCAGGAAATGACCTTGGAATGTGCTTTTTGAATGTACTTAGTCTAAGATAATGCATTCTCTTAGCAAAATGAATTCTTGTGTGCTTGTTCAAAGGTCAGTCCCTGTGGTCTCTAGTGGAGTTTACTCATTAGTTAAGACATGGAATTGTATGGCAGATTGGACAGAAGTCTGGTCCCCAGTAGTGTGATCAGGAATGTCCTCAAATGCAGCACAACAGTAGTCCAGCTACACAGGGAGTGTCTGAGACCATGAAGTCTTAACTCTAAAATTACCAGTTTGCATCACTGAATATCAGGTGTAGAATCATAGCCTGATAATCATGGATGGATGTTCATTGTTTGACTCAAGTTGGACTCAGATTGACTCAATTGAAAACAGGATACTGAACATAGAATGAAGATTAGTAACATTTTGCTGAGGGAACTCTTCTATCAGTACAATCAAAAGAGGGTAAATTCTTTGAATCAACTTTAGAAATTGGACTGAACAGAGCATGGTGGATTGTTACTTACAGTCTCCTGGCCACAGAATTCTTCAGTTGTACCACAATATTAATTTTAACATATTCTTAAAACAATAGTAATTTTGAAGACCTACAAATCAGTTTGGATGCTTACTGTATGATTGATATCTTTTCAATTAAGCTTGCATTGTTTTATCATTTCTTAATTAATAGTGTTTTTAGTTATCAGCATAACAAAATATTAAACATATTTTATGGGATGTATTTTTCAGTTATAGGCGCTACCATTTCAATATTCAGTTATACTGAGAATGACATATTTTGAATATATTACCCCATATTGTTCATGAATTTTTATAACAGTGGTAAAATACTGAATTTAAAAATAGATTTGAAATGGAAGGCGTGGATTGCTAAAAAAACTATTGTGTATTTTTTAAAATAATACTGGGTGCCTGATAATCTCTTTTTTGTGTATAACAGGTGCATTTTTTTTATAAAGGCAAATGGATAATTATCAAATAAATCAGTTCCGTAGGTATAGGATGATGGTTACTTGACTTGGGTAATATGTATGAAGGATCAAGAAATTATAGTTGACCACAAGTTGATAATGGGTCAGCTGTGTGAATGGATTGGGTAAAGGCAATTTTAGGCTTCATCAGTAGAAGTAAAGTTCCAAAGCACCACACTTTAATATTTAAAGAAACTGAAACAAGTGCAAGGAAGAACAAGGAGGTACAGAAGGAACTGATGCTTGAGAAAAGATGATTGGGAGGATATTACAGCACTTGTTAAGCAATTGAAAGAATGTAACAGAGAAGATCCTTTTCATCCTGGAATGCAGGATGTGGAACAATCTTAAATTACAGAAGATTCCAGTTGAAGAAACTTTCTAATAGTAAGAGTGATTCAACAGAGGAGCTAGCTATGAAAGGACATTATGAACTTCTGTTCAGTGGACATGTTTTAGTAGGGGCTAGACAGCTGCCCATCAAAAATATTTTGAGTTTTGACACTGTCCTAGGAAGGGGCAGGACTAAGTGACTCAACAGTTCCCTTGTAGTTCTAGGATTTTGTGAGCTTGTTCTTGATCGTTATATTTGAGAAGCATAGAATGAAACCAATTGACCCTGTCTTGTAGACATTCTCCTAATATTTTTTCTTGCCCAATTTTTTCTCAAGGCAACTCAAAAAACAAGGTTGTGTTATATTATTCACTGGGAAGGTGCAGACTTGTAAGGAATGTTTATAGATCAAAATCATTGAGAAAAAGCCAAGCACTCTATATTACAATCAGTTTCTATGTTCCAAAGTTCCTTTGTCATGTTGTTTTATTTATATCTGAAAAGGTAAAAACCTTCCTATCTGGTGCAAATCTTACTGCAGCGGAGAGTTTTTCTATTGGGAAGTAAATAAGAATATGTCAAGTTCTTTTTTCTAATTACTGTGTTAAACAGTAGGTGTGCCAACTATTAAGGTGACTCATAATAGAGACGTTTATCTCAGTTTCAGAATCTGATTTCATATAAAACAATCATAGAAATGCAGTAATTCACAGCAAGCTCTTTGTTTAGAGGTTAGCTAATCACGAGGAATCTAGTGTTATACTTTATTGCTCTGAATTACATGTAGGTCTGGAGTGAATGGGGGAAAACATTGAGAAAAATCTTGACGAATAATATAACTTATGCAATAGTGGAATAATTTCTGTAATTATTTTCTGTTTCTGCAATCCTCAATGTATTTTCAGTCATCAAATGTGCTTAAGTTTGAGTATTATTATCATTATTATTTTTAAGTATACCACTGTTAGGAATAGGTGGTTTAACATTGAGAAACTGGAACTTTTTTCCAAGGAATATTAAAATAAATATCTACAATATTGTTAAAAAAATCAAGCACCTGCTATGAAGAAAAAACTGGAATTCCTATAAAAAATGCTCCCTCTATCCTCTGCTATGTCATACAAATTCTCTGTTTTTCTCTTTGATTGGGTTTCCAAATCTGGATTATAAAGTTTAAAAACATACCATTGTGAATGCCAGCCTGAATTCATAGTTCTTCGGTCTCAGACTAATTCTAAGGGTGTGTGTGTGTGTGGGGGGGGTCAATCAAGTCTTTACTTTGAATGTGGTCCGACTTGGGTTCTATGCTTTAATTTGGTTTAGCTTTGGTTTTAGCTTTTCTTGTAAAGCATAGAAGGGTGGGAGTTGGCCTCCCTTCAGGGAGAAAGCTGTTGCTCGATGAGGAGGTTGCCACTATGGTCATGTTCTGGACCCCAACTTTTTAAAATCTCTTGAGAGAGCTTGTCATGCAAGCATATTGTACCTGGAGAAAATAGTGTCATAGCTAAGAAGGTACAAAACTACAATTATGTCAATGACTGTTGCTTTTTGCTCTCATATTAACTGGCTTTATTTTAGGGTGGATGACATTCCCCCTGGAATATCTCTGCTTCCTGATAACATTCTCCAGGTTTTGAGGCTCCAGCTGCTGCACTGTGTCCAGAAATTATCAGAAGGGTTGGAAGAGCCACAGCAAGCACTGACACTGCTCCTAGTCAAGTTCTTCATCATTCTTTGCCGGTATCTTTTTTCACCTAATTGTTTTTTCAAAATACAGGGAGTGTCAAGAAAGGGAACTCTGTTATATCCTATTTCCATTACTCTTCTTTTGATTTTTTTGCTTACTGATTTCCGAGTATACCTGCTCAAGTGCTCCTCTCTTTCTGTATTCTTCCCATTTTTTTTTAATCCCCTCTATCTCTTTTTATTGCTTGGAAGTAATAGCATCAAATTAGTCTGGAAGTTACAACATTGGCTATACCTATGGTAACTGAATTCACATTATCAAAATTGCTGTGCTTTTATCTGGTTTGTATATTCATTGTTTTTTATATTGTGAACTGCCCAAGTTGATGAGAGCTGGCTGTGTCCAATCAACATACTTTAAAAAAAATCATGTTCAGTCATGATTTGATTTATTTGTGGGTTGTTGAAGAAGGCATAATTGGAACCAATTCATGTTAACTCATGTTAAGCCATGTTGCTTTCAAAGTAAGATGAGATATCATTCTAAGCCAGAAGTAACCATATTATAATTAGCATAATATGTGGCTTCAGCTATTTAAAATATAACTGGTCATTCTGATATTAACACATTTACTATATCAAGTCTAAGCTTACATAATGTCATTGTCCAGATCTAAATACTTTACTACTCTGAATTATTTTGAGACTATATTACAAAGAAAGGTGGGATTTTAAAACATGTAGCATCTCATACTTGGCATTTTGGGATATTTAAACATTTGTGTAAGAATAATTTTGGAAATCTCTGTAGTTATTCTTCTCCATCAGTCCTCTGCTATCATACAGTTGCTTCACCTCTTACATGTTTCATTCTGTTTCAGAAATTTAGATAATGTGGAAGAGATTGGGACTTGTTCCTATATTAACCATGTGATTACAATGACCACACTCTACATTCAACAGGTAAATGAATATGCAATGGCCAGAAGGATGATCACAATCTTTGTTAGAACTCTAATGGGGTTAAGCAGTGGGAGCAAACTGAGGCTAAAGTTTATCCTCAGAATAGTCTGTTCACTTGGAAACCAAGTATTAAAACTGAAGTCTGCAATGATGTATATTTAGATATAGACAGGATATGTGTTCCTACAATCATTGCTATGTTTCCTCTTTGTTCTAGTTTTGTGCTTTCCTTTTTCACTACCTTCAAGGTTGCAATTTTGGAAAGGGAAAAGAGAAGAAGTATGTTTATTATTCTAAACTAAGCACAAAAGCATTATTTAAGCACTTCATTTTTTATTTTTGTTGAGAGTCATGTCAGGGAGTGATTGAGATGTCATTATGCAATTTGTGTATTTTATTTATAATTTGTTAGATTAATTATTGTTAGAGCTTCATGAGGGAAAAAGGTGGAATATGAATCTATTAAATAATAATGATTATTTAGTCAGCAGATTGAGTGAGGACTGTATACAACTTGAAAAATTGTTTATAATCTGCCACAGATGCTGTTCTTATTCTTTGATATACCAGTTAGTTAATTGGTGAGCTCTTGGAGTTGGTGAGCTCTTGGAGTTGTAATGCTGAGAAAGACTTTTGCAATCACATACATCTCAGCAGCCTGTGAATCAAGTGACTGGCTGGCTGGCAGGGAACTCAGTGAGGGGGAGGTTGCCTAAATGTGTCTTTATCCTCCTTTTGGTTGTGCTCCACCAGGTCATGACTAATGCAGCCCTTAGAATCAAAACATTTGTCTGATTGTGTTATAGCTAAAACAAAACAAGTAGGATTAAAACCTCTTCATTCTTATATGTTCATAGTGATCATATGCCATGGATTGGTTCACATATAATTTGTGGTTTGTTAGAGTTAGGATTGCTGAACAAGCAACGTGGATACTTTTATACATAGGTAGCAAACTGAAGATGTACAGAATGTTTTTAATTCAAGCCATTAAAAATGTTTGTAAAACACTTCTAAAAGTGTTGATGAAAAACTTGTTTATTACTTCTTTAGCTAAAGACTAAAACAAAAGAGAAAGAAGTGGCAGATCAAACATCTATAGAAGAGTTTGTGCGACACGCGCTGGCTTTTTGTGAAAGTCTTTATGATCCATATAGGAACTGGAGGCAAAGAATTGCAGGGTATGTGAGAATATTATATTAACACTCTGTTCTTGTTATTTTAACGTCTTTAAAATAAAGATGCAAAATATATAATCCTATAAAATGTTAGTGCTAAATAGAAAATACATTAATTAGACAGGGGGATTGGGGCCTCATATAATCCTGCCCGTCAAATTGCCTACACTTGTGATATGCTACCAGAATATCATATAAGCCTCCCAGTCAGATATATCAGGACCTTCTGTATCATCATCCACCACAGGAGAGACTGAATGAGAGGCTGCACCCAGTTTATGCTATTAATGAGATTAGATAGACCTCATCTTTCTTTAAATTTGAACAGATTATGTCATAAATACTCAAGTTTCTATCTGATGCTGCACTCAGATATTCGGACTGGAAAATAATGGATACCCATTTTTGAATAAGACAGGATGTTAAACAATAAATTAAAACAATGTTTTAATTCTGGTTTCTTTTAAAACATTTAAAATGGCAGAAGGGAGTACTAATGAAATCGTAACAAACCAAAGCAAAGAAATCAATTAAAAATTTCCTTGTTTGATTGCTCACATCCTGAAGATTCTATAGGAAAAGGTTCCTTTTGGATCTGGGTTCACAGCTATAGGAGTTTGGGTAATAATTTTTTATCATCCGGAAGAAGCCATCACTTCTAGGAGATCAGTAAAGCCCATTGTTTTTGTGAATACTGTGTTTTCTGTTCAGACCATATCAATCCTTATGTGAATAAGATGATATATTTATAAAAGTTGCACTGTTAAAGCCAGATACCCTTAAAGTTTTTGTTTATTAGCTTGATGCAGAAATAAAAACAACCCAAGGGGTATTTTAAGAATGTCATGTGAAAAAAATGTTATACAAATCAATGTATTATTAATAAACCTATGTTTTGTTATACCATAACTAAAATTTGTTTTGAAGCTTTATTATAAATGAATATGTTTTTTCTCTCTCAATATATTATAGGCGTATTCTGAGCACAGTTGAAAAAAGTAGACAGAAATACAAACCAGCTTTACTCACAGTGGAATTTGTCCCTTTCTTTTACCGTGAGTACTTTATTATATTGTCCTACCATTCAGAATTGTTTTAAAATGAGAATCTTTCAGAAATAAGATTTGTTCCATAGTTTTCCATTTGAAGGTACAGAGTCCTGGTGTTCTCTGAGTTTGGTTTAGCTCTGAGAGCACCAAGGGACCCTGCTGTTCAACTCTGAGCTACAAGTATTCTCTTAGATCAGTAATTTGAAAATGATAAGTAATTAAGCAATTTAAAGATATTATTGACCCAGATGCATTCTGGATAACAAAGGTGCATTTTCAATGCTACAGCAATGGGATGTATGCGATAGAAAGTATTTTGCCCAAGCCTCCACCACTCTTGGTGGGGTCCTAGGATACATCACAGCACCCATCCATCTGTATGTGGTATCATTTTTTGAGAGGTCACAAGAGGTGCCCCAGAAACTTGTCATCATATGAATCGTTAATGTCGTGTATCTCTTAATGGATCTGTCATGAGTCACAGATTTGCAACTGGCTTAATTGCTGTTTTTTTAAATTAAAACAGCTTAGATCTGAAATAGGTGCTACCAAGAACAGTGATTTTTCATGAAGTGTGAAGAAGACTCATCATCTAAAACTCAGAACCAGTGTAGCAGTCCTTTAAACATTGTGGAAAATGTTGCAGAAATGACTGTTACAAGTTATTGGCACAATAATAACAGCACTTTTTGAGAGTAATTGAGTATGCTATATTTCTTTTTTTGAAATCAAGTCTGAAATGTAAGACCCATACATTTCTGGGGAGAAAACCTGTAACCACTGCTGAAGTTGGGATGTAGTTTACAAAAGGCAAAAAAAAAAGAATTTTATTTTTATTATTTATGAGTTAAAATCCCTTTCAGCATTAATGTGGATCTCTCTATGCTGTTTAACTTGTACAATGAAGCTCTTGAATGCTCTTTTTGTTTCAAAACTTGTTTTGCATTTGATTATACCTCTCTCTTGAAGATTTTAACAGTTTTAACAGTGCAGGCTTCTGCCATTACTGGAAACTTCTTAGGATGCTAATTCCAAAAAAATAATATGTGGTAGTTTTGGCAGGAGCTAGGTTATGGGTCAATCTATTGCTATGGCAATGATTTCCAGGTTAATGTTTATTACTAAGCAAAAATTATTTAGGTCAGTTCTAATTGCCTTCTATGAGGTAAGGCTTAAATTTAGATACATTATAATGGTTTTTTTTCTATGGCAATTTGAGTCAACATCGCGTTTGCCCATAAAACATTAGCCTTCCCAAAAATAATATGGGGAACTATGGCTACTTAAGACATTTCATTATGTTAAACATATTTTATTTAAATATCTAAAAACTGTGTAACCCTTTGAATGGTTTTATCACTTTGACAATCCTGCTAATTTTGGACACAACTTCCACAATCCCTGGCCATTGAGCAGGGTGGCTGGGCCTGTTGGGAATCCAAAGCATCTGAATGATACCATTTTGCTTCCCCCTGGATTATGTCTTTCTGCCAGACTGATGTGAGTCCCCTTTCGTTTTCAGTAGGGATCTGAATAAGCATCTGGAGTCTTTCGCTTTGGTTCTAGACTAACTGCACCTTTCAGTGTGAATTTAAAACCAGATAGTCTTAGCTTCAATTAGGGGAGAAAGGTGTCTCTAATTTATAATGGTGGCTTGGTAAACAAGATTTCGTTATATTTTACTAAACTATGGTTAAAAGTGACTTTTATATTTCATTCAGCATTGAGAAAAGTGGACCAATATCTTACAAGATTAATCTGAATATTAGCTATTCAAACTACTCTTAATACTTAACATAATCTTATTTTCCAAACTTACCTAGTATAGTCAAAGTACATTTTATTGTTTGATTAAAAAGATATGTTGTGTAAGCTGCCAGTAGAATGAGCAGGAATCTCTCTTGCAGGACGAAATGGCCAAGCTCAACTCTTAGCTTTTCAGTTGTGCCTGCTTTGCCCAGTTAGGGAGGATTGGATTCCCCTGTATTTGTGGCTGCAGTATATGATGAAGGGCTGCAATCTGTAATTCCTTTTCTGATAGTGATTTTTGTGAATAAATACACAAGGAATTTGTTCTTTGCTTTTCAGAGTGTTTTCAAGAAAGTGAGCATCTCAAAGAGAGCCTCAAATGTTGTCTGTTACATCTCTTTGGAGCTATTGTGGCTGGTGGGCAGGTGAGAAAATGTTAACATCCTTTTCTTAATCATTGGGATATGGGACTTACTGCATCATCACTTTGTGGCTTGTATGTTATGAACACTTTCCCAAAGTGAAGAATTTGGAGTAGAAATAACCTAGTTATGACAAGGTGGAGTGTGTAATTGTTAAGTTATGGGACAAACCTTAGTTCAGAGGTAAAATGGACTCATGCTCCTTTAATATTTTGAGAAAGATCCTTTCCAATGGAAACAGAGCTGAGCAATGAAGGTGAACAAAATTGTCCAACATACTGTGATTGAACTCTAGTTGAAATTCCATGTGCTAATTGCTTAAAATAATAAAGGAGAGTCTATATCAGTCTGTCATACAATACTTGAGCACCACACTTTTGTTTCCTCTTGCCTGAATTTATGACATAGCAGCTGAAATTATTCTGAAGAAGTGTAAGAAAAATTATGTATATTATATGTATGCTAGAATTCAAAGATGCTTTTGTTTAAAATTTTTAATCTTGTTTTTCTCATCAGGACTCAGTTTAACATTAAAGCAGTGTTGCTTAAGATGTTCTAGTAATCAAACTGACTCTTTTCCATTTTTCTTATGTAATCTGATTTCATCCAGTTGCAAAGATGTATAATTAATGAAAATGTTATAAATAGCTTGTCCTAAAATATGGTTAGGCTGAGACAATATCTTAAGTAAATAAAATAGTGCCATTAGCTCAAAGAGAAAGAATGTGTTATTTTTCCTGATATTGCTGAGCATAATGTACTGGAACTAAAGTAAAGATATGTGCAATTTTATGTTAATAATTTTTCTACAAGAATACGTTCCCAGAAAAAAAAGAGCGGGGCTAACATGTTGCTTCTTTGTATTGACAAAATCCACACCGGACCAAGGGGAGGGGTTCTAACTATCTAAGCTGCATGCCTGGACCTGGAGGTATATGCTTTGAACATCTCCTGGATATCTCCTTTTCAATAAAGAATTCCTTTTGAAATACCCAGTTTTCAAAAGTTCATTCTTGTTGTCTGAAGGGGAGAGAGTCTGGGCCTTACAGGAAACTGACTTTATATTGTTAGGCAATCGTGTGTTTTATTTTCTTTAACTGTCTGAATTTCCAAGATGTCTAATGAGAAAAGCTTTCTTCTGACCCTTAGTGCCTCTGTGTGTGTGTGTGTGTGTGTGTGTGAGAGAGAGAGAGAGAGAGAGAGAGAGAGAGAGAGAGAGAGAATGTTAGCAATTGTACTACATGACTCGGTAGACACAAGAATTTTGGGCATCTTTTGTGAGTTTTTTCTTTCTTTTGTGATTGTGTTTTCTTAACAGTTAACATACTATGCAACTTTTGCTTCATTTCCTACACACAAGTAGCAAAACATTGCCTTTGCTCAGCAATTATCACCAAATTTTGATGGCATGAAATTCTAGGCAATCTGAGCATGTTTGTTTGATGGTTAGGGTGAAACACAAAACATATCTTCAATCAGTTCTTATGTGATTCCACTATCAAAGGAAAAAGTACTTTGATATCCAACCACAGGATTAATTTGCTGTTTTTGTCCAAGTTATATGATTTAAAACTTGTTTCATGTGCCTGCTTATACTTCTTAAAAAGGAATTGTTCCTGATTATTTTGATAGTGAAGAACTTTTATTATTAACTTTAGAGAAATGCTCTTCAAGCCATCTCTCCTGCCACCATGGAAGTCTTGATGCGTGTCCTGGCAGATTATGATATGTGGGATAACAGAGATCCAGATGACGTGAGCAGGAAGGCTGAGTTGACATTGAAGTGCCTGACGGAAGTGGTGCACATTCTTCTCACTAGTAGTTCAGACCAGCGGCAAGTGGAAACCAGCACCATACTGGAGAACTATTTCAAGCTGCTGAACTCGGATCATGAGGCTTTGCCCAACTCAAGGTCCCGTCAGTGGGAAAGCAGGTTCATTGCACTGCAGATTCAAATGCTGAGTGAGTAACAGGATCCTTTGGGGAGGAGAAAGGGAGGCAGGATGAGATGCTGGAACCACATGTCAGTAGGACCATTTTATTTAGAGCCACAAGCAACATTAAGCAGCTGAAATGGCCATAGCTACAATAAAATGATAGTTCTTCTTGATAGTAAATTATTTTCCCTGATTTTCAGAGGGCATGCCAACTGCAAGGGTATGTAGACCTCTGCACAGTTCTTTTTTTAAAAAAAACTAGGTGAACAATTAATTACAGTAGAAGCTTTTTTAATTGTGTTGTTTGGGCAGGAATTAAAAACTAGAATTATAAAGTAGGGTTTGTCCTTGCTTTATGATTTCTGGCTTATTAGGAAATATCAATCCAGGGTCCAGTTTTAAATGACACACTAGACAAATTGGTCCTGGGTTGTTAAGAGAACATCACTAGTGAGAGGAACCAAGTGATGTGTTGTGTTCAAAGATGTTAGCATTCCACAGTGCTGACTGACCATTCCATGCCAATGCTGCGTGTCTCTTTCATGAGGTTCAACTGACTGAGGAGTGAGTGCAATTTCTATCTATTTAAATAATTTAAGTGCTGACTAAATATACAGTAAGAGTGGCTTATTAGAACCAAATTGCAAGAATTGTAATCAGCTAAGTATTCTTTGTCCAGTTCACTCAGAAGAGGCAAATTGAATACCTATTCTCTAGGCAAAAAGATTCCCCACAGGCATTTACCAATTATTTGACAGGCTGGTTTTAGGATTCCAATGGACTGTATTCTCGCATTTCTTTAAAGCAGTGATATTGAGAAGGCAGCTTCAGTTGATGGCTATTTCCTTTTCCTTAGCATGATTTGCAGGATAAAGAAAGTTCAGTAGAAAGTTCCTTCAGATACATTTTCTGGCTTCTCTTCTGTTTGTATTGGCCAGAAATTGCATTACATCTATTGTTTTTAGAGCATTAACAAAGAACCCCGGGTACTTAACAGTTTCCTTCTACTTCTTCTGGACTTGTCCCTAATAAGCATTAGTCTGATTCTTTTGTTTATTCTGACTGACTTTCTAGAGATCTCAAAGGAGAGATATGCAAGCTTCTATCATTCATATTGTTGTTTAGATTTCTGGCCTTGAAATGTAAAAAAATGTGCAACATGTCACTGCGTGTGTGAGGTAATTTGACATGAGAGAAAATGACATGTCCAGAATCATCCAATGAACTCCAAGGTCAAGTGTAGGACTGTCATTTCTAGGCTACAAAATCTATAAGGCTATTAGATGTCAGCAGATACAGAAACTGAAAAAAATTCTTTGCAATTTCCTTTCATTAACCCTAATACCCTTGCAGTTGGCATGCCCTCTGAGGTTTGAAGTTGACTTTCCCTGTTACCAGTTTAACATTATATTACTTCTGTTAAATAATCAAAAAATAGATCAATGTTTTTTTTAAAGGCAGATGGTTTGATGCTGCATGCTATTGTGAATCAGCTATATATATATTTTTGTTAATTGTTTTGTTAGTAAACAAACCTGTTTTAAAAGTACAATTCCATATTGGTGGTAGGAAGAATTGTATATTCATTCCTTACTTTTATAAAAATACATATGCTTACATATGAAATATTACTCCTACATAATTAGCTATTGCCTTTATGTCCCAATTTGGCTTCTTTGAGCCATCTGATTGTCCAATGTAAGAGATGAAGATACATCTTTCTGATCCATTAGAGTTTTTTCTAAATTGTAACATAATTTTAATGGCAAAAAAGTATTTCCTGCTTTTCTTTTTTGCTTGCAAATTATTTCTATTCCTTTGGAGGGAGACTAAAGCTATGTAATTATTTAAGATATGATCCTTCCTCTTTGATTTTTAGTTTTTCTCTTTTTAAGATGCAATAACTGCTATGTTGGACTGCACAGATCGGCCTGTTCTGCAAGCCATTTTCCTTAATAGTAATTGTTTTGAGCATCTTATTCGACTTCTACAGAATTGCAAGGTAAACAAAAGATTGTAAGAAATATATTCATAATCTTTTGAACATGTATTTTATTACAGTTTTAACAGAACCATTTCAGTTATATTCTAGGAGAAAATCTGATTATTAAATTTAGTTCAAAGAGTGGATCTAATTTACTTCTACGGCGATCTAGTTTTAAATAGCTTTTCAGAGGAATGTCTTGTCCTTATAGCACCAGTAGCAGGGAAGAGTATGAATAATAAAGTCTTCTCACAAAGGATTCCTTCCTGATATATCCTTTTTATTTAACCGCAGCGCTATATGAATTGAGACAACGTTAGAATTGCACTACAGTTGTAGTGGGAATTATATAGATTGAAGCCTAGTTCATCTAGAAGTCATCCAGTTGGACAAAACATGGATAATGGTGACATGGGTATTAATATTGGAGAAAAGAAGAAAGGAGAAGAATACGTAGCAAGATTTCCTATCTGAAAACCTGGCAGACAATGAAGACCATGCAAAGATCTTATAACTAGAGGGCTAGGGTGGTGCAGAATTTAAGATTTGAGGAAGAAAAAATGCTAAGTGTCTTGGCACCCACATTGCTCTATAGGCAGTTCCTTAAGTGAAGTGCATCTTTCCTGGAATCATACTATAGCCATGGAAGACAACTATGCAATTCCAGGAAAAGATGCAGCTGCTTTATGGAATTACAAACAAATACATATTAATCGCTGACACGGGGAGGGAAAACTGACTTGTATCAGAGATTGTTAATTTGTCCCCACACTATGTGGAAAGATTGATAATCAAATACCATACCTGATTCTGCATAGTACAGACAAATGGCATCATTTTTGTGGCCCTCCAAGGGTCTTTTTAGAGAAATTGGGACCAAAATTTCACCCCATCAGGGGAGCATTTTGTTTGTTGAACTTAAATTCTAAAGGATCTTCTTAAATGGAGAGTTGAAGTTACAATTTGGACTTTCTAATAAATTAGGAACTTTAGCTTTTTGTCATCTTAATATTGTTCTCACTCAATAGGACTTACTTATGGGCAGACATGAATAACTCTGGACTTAGTTTTATTTTGCGTGAAAAAAAATATTTCCTTTTGCCTTCACAATAGTCAGTCCTGATATGGAATCCAACATCCATCATGAAATAAAAACCAAATGGAAGATGGCGACCAAGGCAGCTGCATAGTCACGCCGCTGGGAGCCCGAAGGAGAGAAAAGTACCAGTAACTAAATTCAGATACAGGAATAGAGGTAACAAAAGTAACAAAAATACATAGATTAGGTCCTCGGGATCTACAAAGTAGCAGCGTAAGGATTCGGACGGGGGCAGCCAGCCGATCTGGAGTGAGGGGATCCTGCCGGGATCCAGGAATCCCGTTTTGAGCAGCTTCCCTTTGTTGGGTAAGGCAAGCGATCGAGCGAACTGCTAGGACCTAGACAAAAAATTACAAATTTTTCAGCTGCCTGGATAGGAGAAAGCTGCCTAGTGAAGCTGTTTAAAAACTTGAGGGACACGACGGGCAGCGAGGGAGAAAAAAAGTCGGAGGAGACGCCGCTGCCGCTGCTACCGCTTCGCTCCGGAGAGAGAGGGAGGAAAGCCCGAGGAGCAATGGCCGGGAGGATCGCTGAGCGAGAGCGCTCCAACTGTGGCTTTTTCCCTCGACTTCGAGAGTTTTCCCCTCGACTGCTGAGTGGGAATCTGACTGGAGGAGACGCCGCTGCCGCTGCTGCTGCTACCTCTTCGCTCCGGAGAGAGAGGGAGGAAAGCCTGAGGAGCGCCGGCCGGGAGGATCGCTGAGCGAGAGCGCTCCAACTGTGGCTTTTTCCCTCGACTTCGAGAGTTTTCCCCTCGACTGCTGAGTGGGAATCTGACTTTTCCCAGGAGCAACCCAGCCCAGAGAACGATCATCCTTGGAGTCGGTGAGATTCATCCCATCCTTGCAGGGCGGTGAGCACTGGGAGCTGTGAGTCTGTCTCCAGAAGCTTGCAGCCAGGGTGTGAAGCAGACTGCCTCCTCCCTCCCGCCCCCACTTCCCTCTTCCCTCTTTTCTCTTCGCCAAATTGCTAATCCGGACTCCATCTTTTGGAAGTATTGTGATAACTGAACTCCTGAGAAGATTGGAAGCAATTTTATTCCCTGTGATAGAAGCAGAAGTATATTGAGGCCAGGAGTGATAGAAGCAGAGGTATATCGAAGCCAGGAGTGAATGCTCAATACAAATCTGAGTCTACACAGTAAAAATATAAACTGTTAGAATTACCAGTGCAAGACGTGCCTCTTTCTCTTAAAAGCAACAAACTTTGAAAGTGTATTCAGTTAACTAGGAGGGTCCCAGAAATCTCATTAATCAAGGGAAAACAAAAACAAATAGTTTCCTGTGAGCTGTTCAATTTGTCTCTGCTGAATCAAAGTCTGCTTGCAAAAAAGGAGAGAAGATTAGTTGGTTTCCTCTGTTCTTAGAAGTGAAGCCCTTTCCTTCACTCGGATAAAAACCCTTTGAACATTGTGTTACAACTTCCTGTTTACAGAGTAATAGCGATCTGCTATTCAAAGAGCAATAAATTCCTCTCATTCAGTCAACTACAGCTGCTAGTAAAACAATTAACCCGTTCCTTGCAGACTCTTAATACTACCTCATTACTTTAATCAAACACTGATTAATTCACTACCTCAAAACTTTCAACTTTTCTACCTCAGCACTTATATCAACGATTAGATAATCAATTTCTATAAAATATTTTATTAATGGTTTAATTGATTTATTGTTTTAATTGATTAGTGTGATTAGAGTGTTTAGTGCAAATAGTGTGATTACTGACTAGTTTAAAAGATCAAAATTCATGTAATTTAATTGAATAGTAAAATCAATGATTTAGTGAATTTAAATGAACAGTGTGATTAATGATTAGTGTAATTAATTGATTAGTGATTAGAGTAATTAATTGATCAGGCTGACTGTTGCTCAGGAATATTATCTGACTTGATCAGGCTGATTGTTGCTCAGGAATATTATCTGACTTGAGAGATTACTGCAATTGATTGTTTGATGTAATATTGCCTATATAGATTACCCAAAATTGTTCCTTTAATTAATTCAATCAACGTACTATTTTAACAAACTACCATGCCAAAAAGAAAATCCTACGCCAAACCACAACCTAAAGAGAAGATAATCCCCACCAATGAACCACAAGACTCCTGCACATGCCTTAAATGCTACAAAAATCTAAAGGATAATGAAAACTCCATCAAATGTTCTCTGTGTAAAAAATACGCTCATCATAGGGATTACCTTGGGATTTGCTTGGGATTACCTGAGCAAATGATTCAATACCTAGAATCATCCAATGAGTTTCCATATTTCTGCAAATCATGCAGACCCAAACTGGATCTGTCTGAAAGAGTTGATACCATCGAAACCATTGAAACATCCCCTACCATCAAAACCATTGAAACATCCCTTAACACCATAGTAGCATCCCTGGACGTCGTAAAAGAAAGAATATCCAACCTTGAAAAAAAAGACAACACAAAAACCTGAACATCCAATAGCTACAAACCACATCTCTACCCAACAACCACAATCCGATCCAAAACCCAATCCACAAATAAACACAACCCAGACAAATATTGATATCCCAATCCTCATCAGAGAAGCCGTTGAGCGTGAACGGAAATGTCCAAACGCCATCTTATTTGGTCTAGAGGACATCAATGTCAATGATGACATCACAACTGTCCGAAACATCATCAGAGATTATCAAGCATCAACCATCTCCGCTGATGAAATACTTGACATTTCCCGCATCGACCGAGAGCTCAAAAATAGAGACGGCTCTGTGGCCCCACGCTTGTGCAGGGTCATTTGCAAAAATGAATCAAGCAAACGTAAATTCATTTATACTATAAACTCACTCGCCAAAACCAACACCAACCATAAGAACCTCTGTTGCCGCCCTGACCTAACCATACAGCAACGTGCCCGCTCCCGTGCACTCTGCATTGAACTCAAAAACCGTCTAGACAATGGAGAGAAGGACCTGTACATTGACTACCATGCTGACTGTATCAAAAGTAAGCCACGCAACCCAATACTCAGCTTCTACCCTCAACCACAACCCTACCTCAACCGATCCACCATCACCCAAGACTAGGCACGCACGCCCCCAACTACCTCAATTCCAACTACTGCCGGCCTTAAATGCAAACTACTCAATGCAAGAAGCCTCGTGAATAAAATACCTGAATTTCTCATCCTAAATATGGCTAACTTCGACATTATATTTGTCTGTGAAACATGGCTCAATGCATCTCTCCCCGACTCCATTACCACAGTAAGAGACTATCATGTTTACCGATCAGATCGTGAAAATCGTCGAGGAGGTGGTGTTGCTATATTCTATAAAAAATCCTTACATCTAAAAAATATCCAAGTTACCCAGGAGCTTGCTCTTCCTGAGACCATCATCTGTGAACTATCCTTAAATATCACAATTCGATTCTTACTATGTTACAGAGCACCTGATTATGACATCGAACATGTAAACAAGCTAAATACATTACTAACATGGGCTGCATCCTGCCCATACCCTTTTATCTTTCTTGGTGATTTCAATCTACCTCATATTGACTGGACCCTAAATGATTGTACAACTGAAATCATACACACAACCTTCTACAATGCTATTACAAATCTGGGACTGGAACAACTAGTAACCAACAACACTAGACCAAACAACTGCCTCGATCTCATCTTCTGCAATAGTTTGAATTTAATTTACGGAATACAAACTAAAGAACCCTTTTCCAGTAGTGACCACAATATGATTGACTTTTGTCTCAACATACGTCCACACAAAAATCACCACAATGATGTAATCCCCAATTGTAACTTCAAAAAAGGCAACTATGATCTTATAGACAACGATCTCTCATCCCTTGATTGGCAATCTCTATTCACTGGATGCAATACTGTTGAAGACCATTACAACATATTTTTACTTGAAGTCAAAAGAGTCATCAAACTATATGTACCAACAACAACTCCCAAAACAAAACAAAAAAGCAGATTACCCATATCAATAAGGAAACTTCAATCCAAAAAGAGATCACTCTGGCGGATAAACAAATCTGGTCACGTTGCCAATTTCAAAAGCCGATACAAAAATTTATGCCACCAGATAAAGACCGAATGCACCAATTATCACATTAAACAAGAGGAAAACCTTCTAAGCACCAATTCCACCCGTGCTTTTTACAATTTTGTAAACAACAAACTAAAAGACTCAAGGTCCATCCCTCCCTTGATAGGACCTGATGGTAAAGACTGCAACGACAACACCATTAAAGCCAACATCTTTAACACATTCTTCGGCTCAGTATTTGTAAACAGCAATGGATCATGCCCAGTATTTCCTAGCCGTACCACAGATAACAATAATGATCTAATACAT